AGGTGTTTGCAGTGTGAGTGGAGATGCCCGCTGTCTAGGCTCCTTCTGGCCAGAGGCATGACCGTCTCCACACCCCCTTATGGGGTAACACGAAGCCGGCAAATGCGCAGCTGGACGCGGATGCAACTCAAGGCATTCCCGACGCGAAGAAGAAGATGCACGACTGGTGCTTCCGCTGTGATACTGCATACTGCATACTGCAAGCATTGCTTCATCTACTGCCGCAATTTCCCAGAGCCGACAGCGCGCACCACAAAGGCAACTGCATGTGCCTGCCTGGTACGTGTGGATTCGCGTTGACAAGGATGAAGTCGCTTCTGGCCGGACAGCTGCGCAACGCTTGCCGAGCTCTGAAGCCATTTCTTTTTGATATCGCATGTTTTTGTCATCGCGATGTTCGCCATACACAGATTTGCAGTTTGCAAGAGCTGCGCACCGTTCTCACCCGAATTTTTGCCAGATTTGTCACTTCTTGTTTTGTGGACCTCTTCGATGTTACAGCCGAAACTAGGGCTCCTCTTCGGGGTCTCTTGTAGGGGTCCAATCGTGAAGCCCCATAAGTCCTAAACCCTAAACCCTAAACCCTAAACCCTAAACCCTAAACCCTAAACCCTAAACCCTAAACCCTAAACCCTAAACCCTAAACCCTAAACCCATCTCACCTGTCATCGTTTGCCCCATTTTCTGGAACCCACCATTACAAGGAACTAAGGGAGGGAACCTTCCAAGGGACCTCAGGGCTTGTTTAGGGAAACCCTAAACCCTAAACCCGAAACCCTAACCCTAAACCCTAAACCCTAAACCCTAAACCCTAAACCCTAAACCCTAAACCCTAAACCCTAAACCCTAAACCTTCGAGGCTTGTTTAGGGATTATATAGGGGCTACTTAAGTATAGGGACTATATCATGAAAGCCATGACTTAGAGGTGCATGGGTAGTTAGAACCCGGGCTCTGAGTGGGATAAGCTGTAGGTCGAAGTACTTATAGCCCTACTTATAATTGCCCATGAACCTTCCAGTAACGGCACTGAGAAGCCAGCAAAGGGCTTCCAGTGATCAAGGGGAGCTAAGAGAGGTGGTGGGTTTAAGGGCTAAGGGTTTAAGGGTTTCAGGGTTTAGGGCTTCGGGTTTAGGGTTTAGGGTTTGGGGTTTAGGTTTAGGGTTTAGGGTTTAGGGTTTGGGGTTTAGGGTTTAGGGTTTAGGGTTTAGGGTTTAGGGTTTAGGGTTTAGGGTTTAGGGTTTAGGGTTTAGGGTTTAGGGTTTAGGGTTTAGGGTTTAGGGTTTAGGGCTTAGGGGTGATGCAAAGGTGCAAGGGTTTAGGGTTCAGGGCTTGAGAAGCCCATTCACTGGTACGGTATTGAGGAGTAACAAGCCTCAAAGATTCAGGGGTCTAGGGTCTAGGGTTGTAAGCTTCCCTAGCCAAACCCCCAGAGCAAAACGACGAACCCTTTGAATCTGACCCGAAACCCTAAACCTAAAGGGCTGAAACCGAACAACCGTAAACCCTAAACCCCTAAACCCCTAAACCCCTAACACCTTAACGCCCACTCAGCTGCTCAGGACTTTGTGGCTCGACTCCGCGGTTCCGCAACCCCGCGACAAGTTCATGGCCCCTCGAACGAAAGCGAATCCACAGCCCCTGTAACGGTTTAGGGTTTAGGGCTTAGGGTAAGTTGTATTGTATAGGAATTCTGAGGGGATGATGCCGGCAGTGCTTAGGCTCAGGTCGCAAGCAAAACAATCGAAAACAGCCAGGCTTTTTTCCGCCTCTGGGGACTAAAGGAGGGACCCTTAAAAGGGACCTAAGGGGTTCCTTAGGGGTCATTTAGGGGCTTTAGGGTTTAGGGTTTAGGGCTACTTAGGTATATAGGCACTGTATAAGGAAAATAGAGGGTTACATAGGTATTCTCCGCCTCCAGGCCCTTGGCCTTACGGGCTTTGGGCTTCGGCTTGAAAGTCGAGGCTTGCAACATTCGACGTGGCCTGGCGTTCAGGCTTTGGGGCTTTGAGTTTGGGGGGGTGTCCTGAACCCTAAACCCTCAGCCCTAAACCTAAACCCTAAACCCCAAACCCGAAACCCTCAAACCCTAAAACCCTAAACCCTGTGAAGTTAAGGGTTTGGGGTGAGGCAGCCGCGCGACCGGTGGCGATTGGACGACGCCCGGCGCGACCTCGCCTCGGATCATACACGGTCCCCAACCCTCAACCCTTTAGCTTGGTCTGTTCCGGCATTTAGGGTTTAGGGTTTAGGGTCTAGGGTCTAGGGTTTAGGGTTTAGGGTTTAGGGTTTAGGGTTTGGGGTTTGGGGTTTGGGGTTTAGGGTTTAGGGATGGTGTGGAGTTTTCAGGCTTCGGCTCTCGGAATTTAGGAGGGTTCAGAGAGCTTGGTCGAGGGCTGAGGGTCCTTCAGGTCACGGGCCAAGACCCAAGAACCCTAAACCCTAAATCCCTGAATGCTCTAAATCATGTAGGGTTTAGGGTTTTGGGCTTAGAAAACCCGAAACCTACAAAACTCTTGAACACCCCAAAGCCCTAACACCCTAAACCCCTGCTCCTAAAGCAGTAAACCGCTATAGCAATGGTTCCCCAAAGCCCTAAAACCCTTAAAACCCCTGAACTGACTGCAGCCGGGTGCATCGTCATGAACCCCTGCCATTAGCTGGGCAGCCCTGGCTTACTGGTAAGCATCCGTTTGGGGAGGGTTTCGGGCTTAGGGTGTGGGGTTCGGGCTCAGGGAAAACAGGCCCTGAACCCTAAACCCTGAACCCTCAAACAAGTGTTGTTGCAAGGACCCCCCAACGCGGACTGCCCACTGGGCTCCCAGCTACTGACGGAAGCCGGCACCTGGCTTGTTTTGGGGGTCGGCTTACCAAAAGTGCCCTAAACCTTAGAGCCTGAACCACAAATCCCAAACCCCAAGCCCTAAACCCTAAACCCCTACACCGTCTACACTCCTGAATCCTGAATCCAACTTGAACCCTAAGCTCTAAAGCTCCAAACTCGCAGTTGCCGAGGTCGGCACAGGGCAGGGGACGGGGGCTCGGCCCCAAGGATGTACCCCGAAGAGAGTTAGGGTTTGGGGTTTGGGGTTTGGGGTTTGGGGTTTGGGGTTTGGGGTTTGGGGTTTGGGGTTTGGGGTTTGGGGTTTGGGGTTTAGGGTTTAGGGTTTAGGGTTTAGGGTTTAGGGTTTAGGGTTTGGGTCTAGGGTTCCCTTGAAATACTCCTATCATGGCCTGGGTTCTAAAGACATTGGTGCCGATGCTACGTGTGAGCAAGCAGGCACAGCAACACCACGTGTGGGTGGGTTTAGGGTTTAGGGTTAGGGTTTAGGGTTTAGGGTTCAGGGTTGGGGGTTTAGGGTTTAGGGCTTAGGGTTTAGGGCTTAGGGTTTAGGGTTTAGGGTTTAGGGTTGAGGGTTGAGGGTTGAGGGTTTAGGGTTTAAGGTTTAGGGTTTACTGAGATGCTGAACCCTAGACCCTAAACCCCAAACCCTGAACCCTGAACCCTGAAACCTAAACCCTTACGGGTCCAAGGTAGCGTCCCAAGATGCTCCCAGATGGAGCTTGTCTGCAAAGCACGCTTCGGGTTATATAACCCCAAATCTGGTTTTCTTGTAGGCTACCTAAGAATCCTATAAGGGGTTTCGTAACACGGACCTACAAAAAAAGTAGGTGTTGGGTTCGTAAGGTAAAGCTCTCTCAACCCCCCAAAATCCTTACACCTTAAACTCTAGGAAGACCAAACCTTCTGAGCCCCAAACCCTAAACTAAACCCCACAGACCCTAAACCCCAAACCCTATAAACCCCATTGCCAGACGCGAAAGTCAGCCCCATGGACACTGAACCCAAAAACCCCACACCCCAAAGTTCCTAAAATCAAAATAACCCTAAACCCTAACAAAAAAACTAAACCCCAAACCCTAAACCCAAAACCCTAAACCCCAAGCCCTAAACCCTAAACCCCTCACCTGAACAAAAGCTGGGCATGCCTTGGGCGCTTCGGCAGCCTGGGCCGCAGATGGCGCGGGACCTCGGAACAAGAGGCTGGAAGCTCCAATGGCAAGTGTAGGGTTTCGGGTTTAGGGTTTAGGGTTTCGGGTTTCGGGTTTAGGGTTTAGGGTTTAGGGTTTGGGGTTTGGGGTTTGGGGTTTGGGGATTGGGGATTGGGGTTTCGGGTTTGGGGCTGAGTGCGGGACGCGCTGTTCCTGCCTTCGACCCGTTCAGGAACTTCGTCAGCATTGCGGATTGGCCTCGACAAATGCGGGCTAAGTGGGTTGAAGCTTCGGAGATTTCCACCCTTGAGCGTTTAGGATGTTCGCCGAAGGTCACCCCTACACCCCCCCCCCCCCCCCCGCCCCCTCACATAAAAGCTCTATTCTAAGATGTCCAAACCAAGGTTACTGGGAGGTTCATGGGCAATCACCACTGGGCTCTCAAGTTGGGTAACTATAGCTACCAGTGGTTCTGACCCGTTTTGGGGTCTCTGAGAACTCGATGTCCAACTACCTTAAGCTTGAGGGTGTCGGGTTTCGGGGTTTAGGGTTGAGGGCTTGGCAGAAGAAATGGTGCCGGAAACTCCCATCAGTTTAGGGGTCGTCCTTACCCAACGATCTGGCGAGTTTAATGTGTGGAAAAATTAGGCGTTCTTGCTTCTGAGGGCGGCACAAAACGACAAAAACCCTACTGCTTGTGAGAGAGTGTAAGGCCGAGCCAGAAGGCAAGCGGGAGCTGTACAAAGGCAACGGCCAGGGTGCACGGAGGAAGCTGCGGCTTGACTGACCCAAGCGGAGGCCGAAAAAGAGAGAGGAAACGGCCGCTTGACTGACCCAAGCGGAGGCCGGCAAGAGAATGGGAAGCTGTGGGTCTTGACTGACCCAAGCAGGGGCCGACAAAGGTATGATCATTCATACTTATGACCGGTGTACCTGATGTGGCTACTGGTCGCAACCTTTTCGAGAGCTCTGCTGGCTCAATTTGTCTCTTGCGAAAGCGGCGAGGAGCTAGCGGGCTTGCGCTACGCAGCCTCCCCGCGTAGTTGACCACGGCTGCCTCGGCATCCCCGGGACAATGCATAGCTTGCAGCTCTCGGCGGCTGCAGTGCCCGCACCCACTGGCCATGCCGGTGCGTGCTGCGTGCGTTTGGCGTACAGCGTCGTCAGCGCCACCATGGACGAGCCGGTCGCGGAGTCTTCGTTCACGCCGAGGTGCGGGCAGAAGACGCGGTAGACTATGTCATAGCCGCCGCCACGGTGGCTGCGTCGTTGGTTGAAGCTGGCGACGACAATGTTGCGAGCTTCCACGCTGCGCGCCAGCGCCGCACAGTCCGGTTGCAGCTTGAGGACGTCAGCATCGCTTGGCAGGAGCAGCAGCAAGCCCAGATCCCACTCACCTTGAAACTGCACGCCAGAAACATCGATGCCCAATGCAGCGCAGACCGTCACCTCCACCGGCGTTTCCCTTGATTCAAAGGCTCCGTGTTCTAGGATGATGTCGGCGACGCTGTCTTCTTGCGCCGTCACTCGAATTGGCGCATCTGCAAAGGCGCTGTGGAAGTGCAGGCACTGCCGCGGTGGCTCATCTTGGTCCTGCTGGCGTGCTGCTTGCGGCGCCGGCGGCTGTAGTGCGAATCCTGCTGCCAGTGTTCCATGCCCACACGTCCTGTACTCGTTCCAGCGGGAGAGAACCACTGGATATCGTAGCCGCAGCAGTCCTCACGTCGACTGTCGCGCGGCCTCACGAACACGGTCACGCACTTTTCAGTTGTTCGTGGTCATCGACGGCAGCGAGTGCGGCGGTGGCGGGCGCGGGCATGGCTTCGTAGGCCGCGAGCAGGCGCACGGCCACCGCACTACCAGAGCCATGCAAGGCGTCTTGCGTGAACGTATTGACCACGCGCAGCGCAGCCGCCGGCGGGGCTTCCATCATAGCCTGTGTCATGGCACAACACTACTACTACATGGCACCCGAAAAAAGCTACTTCTGGTGTCTCTCAAGTCAAGGCATGAGATGCCACATGAAGAGAAGAACGTTCCCACAAACCCTGAAGCCCCACCCATATGGAGCATCCCAACAAAGAGATGTGCGAAGTATATCCCTGAAGGAGCTTCAGGGTTTAGGGTTCGGGTTTAGGGCTTGTGGGGTTTCGGGTTTAGGGTTCAGGGTCTAGAACCCAACCCTTGAGCCCACAGGCCTCGCTCCATGAGCTCCTTCACCATGAGCTTCACTCCTTGGGGGAGGCACCCTAAACCCTAAACCCTAAACCCTAAACCCCAAACCCTAAACCCTAAACCCTAAGGCAGCTCCCAGTAAGGGCTTTGGGGACAGAGGGCTTCGGGTAATCCTAAAAAGGGTTTAGGGTGCACCCTAAACCCTAAACCCTAAACCCTAAACCCTAAACCCTAAACCCTAAACCCTAAACCCTAAACCCTAAACCCTAAACCCCAAGGGTTCGGGGGTTTAGGGTTTGGGGGTGAGGTTGCGGGAGGGAGAACTCAGGCATGGGCAGGGCTTAGGGGGTTTGTGAGGAATGGAGAGCTTTGTAGGGTTTGGGGTTTAGGGTTTAGGGTACCGAAACCCTAACCCCAAAACCCCCAAACCCGGCCCAAACCCAACAAAGAAGCCGAAGCCCTGAAACGTCCTAAGCCCTGAAACATATCCCAAGCCCCAACACATCCCAAACCCTAAGCCCTGTTCCAACCTTAAAGCGCTAGGGGGCTCTGTGGGCAAGCGCGGGTTTGGGTTTCTTTGCTGCCGAACCTCAAGAGGGACCGTGACATCCTCAGCTGCCTTTACATGCCGTCAGAACCTGTGGTAGCCAAAACCCTAAGCCCTAAACCCTAAACCCCAAACCCCAAAACCCTGAACCCCAAACCCAAAACCCAAAACTCATGAACGCCAAACCCTAAGCCCTCAAGTCCCAAACCCTAAGTCCCAAACCCTAAGTCTAAACCCTAAGTCTAAACCCAACAATAAATTGTAAGCCCTAAACCCTAAACCCTAAACCCCTAAACCCCTAAACCCCTAAACCCCTAAACCCCTAAACCCCTAAACCCTAAACCCTAAACCCTAAACCCAATTGACCCTTAGCCTGGGACATTGGCGCTCATGGGCCTTCGGCGGGCCCTGGACCATCAGCCTTGGGGGGCCGTTGCCCAAAGCCCCGTGGTTTGTATGCTTTAGGGTTCACCCTAGACCCTAAACCCTAAACTCTAAACTCTGAACCATGGGCTGTTGGAGCTTTTAGAACTGCTTCGGGGTTTTGAGGGTTGTTTGTTCAAAGGTTCTGTGCGTTTCGGGGTAAAAAGGTGTAGGGTTCGGGTTTCGGGCTTAGGGTCGGTCCAGGAAAGCTAAGACTGCACCTGATGTAACGTCAGTGTGTATGGCTTCGGGTTTCGGGTTTTAGGGTCTAGGGGTTGAGGCTTCGGGGGTTCAGGGGGTTTAGGGTTTAGGGTTTAGGGTTTCGGGTTTAAGTTTAGGGTTTAGGGTTTGGGGTTTAGGGTTTAGGGCTTAGGGTTTAGGGTCACATCCAAGTGCAAGACGTGCGCTTGCCCCCAACAGGCTTCGAGGAGAGCTTCAACCTCGGGCAGCGCTGCGAGTGTAGCTTCAGCCCCTAAAACCTAAACCCTAAACCCTAAACCCTGAACCCTAAACCCTGAACCCTAAACCCCTAAACCCCTGAACCCTAAACTCTAAACTCTAAACCCTCAACCCTCAACCCTAAACCCCTAAACCCCTAAACCCCTAAACCCCTAAACCCCTAAACCCCTAAACCCCTAAACCCCTAAACCCCTAAACCCCTAAACCCCTAAACCCCTAAACCCCTAAACCCCTAAACCCCTAAACCCCTAAACCCTAAACCCCTAACTAAACCCCTAAACCCTAAACCCTAAACCCTAAACCCTAAACCCTAAACCTTCAACAAAAGGGGGTAGCCCAAAGCGAGTGTCGGGTTTTCGGGCTAGGGTGGCAGGGCGGGTTTGGCGTTAGGGTTTATTTTAGGGTTTGGGGTTTAGGGCTTAGGGCTTAGGGTTTGGGGTTTGGGGTTTGGGGCTTTGGGTCTAGGGTCTAAGGTTTGACTTCGAGGACACACGAAAGCGATCCCCGGACCAGGGTTGGGATAAGCACTCGGCCCGTTAACCGGGCCCCCTGGCAATCACGGAACCAAACCTGAACTCCACGTGGACTTACGGTTTAGGGTTTAGGGTTTCGGGTTTGGGGTTTAGCCACTTTAAGGGGGCAACCCTGAAAAAGCGTTCCTAAGCCCCATGAATCCGGAAAAACCCTCGAACCCTTGACCCGGAATCCTAGACCCTAAGATCCTTTGCCCTTGAAGCCCTCCTAACCCCCAAGACCTGAACCCCTCCCTCCCTCAACCCCGGAAGTACTAAACCACTCTTAAAATCCCCACAAAAAGGTGGAACGGTGTGGGGGGGAGGGGGGGAGAAACCTTCAACTGAGGAACCTTAAAACCGTTCAAAACCACCCCCCCCCCCCCAAACAAAAAAACAAAAAAAAAAAAAAATGCCCCAAACCCGAAACCAAAAACACCCTTCAAAGGCCCAAAACACCTTCAAAGACCCTACACAAATCTGCAAAGACCCTTACAAGAAACCCTTGATTGAACCCCCCCCCCCCAGAAAAAAATTTAAAAAAAGCCAGGGGGATGGGTAAACCCCTAAACCCCTAAACCCCTAAACCCCTAAACCCCTAAACCCCTAAACCCCTAAACCCCTAAACCCCTAAACCCCTAAACCCCTAAACCCCTAAACCCCTAAACCCCTAAACCCCTAAACCCCTAAACCCTAAACCCCTAACTAAACCCCCAAGCCCTAAGCCCTAAACCCTAAACCCTAAACCCCAAGCCCTAAGCCCTAAATCCTAAACCCTAAACCCAAAACCCTAAACCCTAAACCCAAAACCCTAAACCCTAAACCCCAAACCCTAAACCCTAAACCCTAAACCCCAAACCCTAAACCCTAAACACCAAACCCTAAACCCTAAACAAAAAGGGGCACGCCGGGGGTCCCTGGCTGGTCGGCTTCCGCGGCCAGCTCCATTGATGCCAGGTGCTTCTCCACAACCTCCCGTGGACGCTGAGCGAAGTAGACCCTCACCCCAATGTTTAGGGTTTAGGGCTTTGGGTTTGGGGTTTAGGGTTTAGGGTTTAGGGTTTAGTGTTTAGGGTTTGGGGTTTAGGGTGTATATAGGGTCATGCCGCTAAAACAAGCCCGTCAAAGTCCTGTACTCCGGCGTTCTGGAGTGTACACCAGTCGGAGCATTGCTCAGGTCACTTGTTGGAACAGACACTAAGCCTCCTGTGCAGGCCCCCCCCCCCCACCCTTTTGAAGTGCAATCGTTGTTCAGGGGCTTTGTGTTTCAGGGTTTAGGGTTTAGGGCTGAGGCTGCTTAAGGCATTTCAGGTTTCAAAATTAATTCCCAGTCAGCGGGGCCTCACTCCCCCCCCCCCCCCCCCCACTCAGGTTAGAACCGCAAAACTCGACTCTATGGTCCCATGCCCATGAGCCCTAAGCCAACCCTCAACCCTAAACCCGAGCCCAGGGAGCGAGTGCCTTGATCCCAATGCACTCGGGGAGCCTCGCCGCCGAAATGCCAGGGGTGGTTTGGGGTTCAGGGTTCTGAGTTTAGGGGCGCTTTGGGCCGGCAAGAATCCCAACACTCTCCCCTGCCATGGTTCATGGAGATTAAGCCCCAGACCCTGCACTCTCTAAGCCCTAAACGCCTAAACCATGGGACGACAGGCGAGTAGCCCGCTGCTGTCGGGTACCCAAAGGCTCCAATGTAGTTCCTTGTTGGGTTAGTTATAGGGGATGTTAGTATGCTACCCCAAAAAGGTACTACATAGGAGCCTTTGGGTAAGCACCACATGGACGGTAGCTTAGTACAGTGAGGTGTAGAGTATATCATGGATACCAAGACGGGGCCAAGCGACTTCGGTCGGAGCCCCGAACATGCCCTAAACCCTAAACCCTACACCCTAAACCCTAAACCCTAAACCCTAAGCCCTAAACCCTAAACCCTAAACCCTAAACCCTAAGCCCTAAACCCTAAGCCCTAAACCCTAAGCCCTAAGCCCTAAGCCACGAACTCCACGGTGGCCCTGTGAGAGCCGGACTTGATCAGCAGCTGCGTCGACGGGCCGTCGCTGGCGCCTGGCACCACCCAAAATAACCTCTAAATCATCGACACAGTGAGCCTCAATCCTAAACCCTACACCCTAAAACCCGCAACCCTCAACCCTCATCCTTCAACCCCAAGCCCCCTAAAATCACCGTGGCTGACTCCGAAACCCCAAGCTTCTTGCTCGGAGGGCAGCCTCGATTCAAGATGCTTAGGTTGGCAGGCCGTAGGGCTTTGTAACCTCACCCAGTTCGTTTGCTGGGAGTGGCTGCTGCAGCCCTAAACCCTCCACCCTGAACCCCAAACCCTAAACCCCAGAACCCTACACCCTACACCATGAACCCCAAGCCCTAAACCCTAAACCCTAAACCCTAGACCCTAAACCCTAAACTCGAGAAGTCGAAGGCGCCCAAGGAGGGGAGTGCTCTTCTTCGGTTTTCAGTAACCAATGGGAAGCAAAAAACACATACTGTTTGGGCTACTTACCCATAATATATGGAACCCAGAACCCAAAAATCTTTTTTAAAGAATACTAATAATTATGACAACAATGATAGTAATGACAACACTAATAATAATTCATAATCATAGTAATATTAACAATAATAATCATGACATAATAAAAGAAAGAAATATGAGTATGATTATAATAATTCATAACAATAATAATAAATAATGACAATAATTACAAAAATAACAATATTAACAATAATAACAATAATAACAATATTAACAATAATAACAATAATAACAATAATAACAATAATAAAAAATCGCAATAATAACAATATTAACAATAG